ATAGAGCAACCAACCCGAATAAATTTTAAGACACTGAAGAAAGAAACTGAAGAAGATACAAATAAGTGGAAGCATACATTGTGTTCACAGATAAGAAGGCTTAACATTATTAAAAGGTTCATACTACCCAAAACAATCTATAGATAGATTCAACACCATTCCTATCAGGATACCAATGGCATATTTCACAGAACTTGAACAAATATTCAAAAAATTTATATGGAACCACAAAAGACCCCACATAGCCTTACCCATCCTGAAAAAGAAGAAAGGAGAAGGTTGGAGGAAGCAAACTATTATATCAAACTGCTACCAAACTACTATATTACAAGGCTACAGTAATAAAAATAGTATGGTACTGGCATAAAAACAGACATATAGATTAATGGAATGCAATAGAGAGCCAGAAATAAACCCATGCCTCTATAGTCAGTTAATATTTGACACAGGAGGCAAGAACATATGATGGGTTAAAAACCATCTATTCAATAAATGGTGTTGGCAAAATTGGACAGATATGTGCAAGAAAATAAAACCAGACCACCTTCTTACATTGTGCACATTCAGAATACAGTAAAAATGGATTAAAGACTTAAATGTTAGATTTGAAACCATAAAAATCCTGGAAGAAAATATAGGCAGTAAATCTTGGACATTTCTCATAGCAATATTTTTTCTGATATATCTCCTTGGGTAAGGGAAACAAAATGGACTACATCAAAGTAAAAGATTTTTGCATAGCAAAGAAAACCATCAACAAAATGAAAAGATAACCCACTCAGTGGGAGGGCATATTAGCCAATAATACATCTGGTAAGAGATTAATATCCAGAATTTATAAAGAATTTATATACCACCTAAAAAAAAAAGAAAAAGAAAGAAAAAGATGGCTCAGAAGGCAAATTAAATTGATTCAGATAAAAAAAAAGAACTTATAAAATGCAACATAGAAAACACACACGCAACAAAACACACAAAAACCCCACACACACCTAAACACACACACAAAAAAGCCAAAAATCAAACAATCCAATTAAAAATGGGCAAAAGACCTGAATGTACACTTCTCCAAAGAGGCCATACAGAAGGCCAATAGACACATGAAAAGATGCTCACCATCACTAAGTATCAGAGAAATGCAAATTCAAACCACAATGAGATATCACCTCACGTGTATCAGAATAGCTATCATCAATAAATCAACAAACAAGTGCTGGTGAAGATGTGAAGAAAAGGAAATCTTTGTGCCCTGTTGGTGGGAATGCAGATTGGTGCAGCCACTGTGGAGAGTAGTATAAAGCTATCATCTCAAAATAAAAAATGGAACCGCCATTTGACTCAGTGATCCGACTTCTGTAAATATAGCCTAAGAATCCTGAAACCCCAATCAGAAAGAATATATGTACCCCTATGTTCACTACAGCCTTATTTACAATAGCCAAGATTTGGAAGCAGCCCAAGTGTCCACTGGTGGGTCAGTGGATAAAAACGATGTGGTACTTTTACACAATAAAATACTACTTGTCTGTAAAAAAAAGAAAATCTTACCTTTTGTGATAGCATTGATGGACCTGGAAAGTATTACGCTAAGTGAAATAAGCCAGTCAGAGAAAGACAAGTACCATATGATTTCGCTTATATGTGGAATTTAATGAACACAAAGTAACAATCAAAACGGAAACAGACTCATAGATACAGAGAATAGGCTGACAGTTGTCATTGGAGAGGGAGGTTGGGTGGAAAAGGTAACCCATAGAAACAGAAACAGTGTGGCGATTACCAGAGGGGAGTGGGGCGGGGAGAGGTAGAAGAGGGCAGAGGAGGCTAAATTACTTGGGGTGGTGAACACACAATACAATATACAGATGATGTATTACAGAATTATACACCTGAACTTATATAAGGTTTATTAACTAATGTCACCCCAGTAAATTAAAAAACGTGCAAAACTATATGAAATAGACAAGATGTGTGCCAGTGCTCATGACATTGGAGGCCTGCTCAGACAGCTACCATGAGTACTGTAAAACAATATTCTATACAAAAGCAAAAAAAAAACCAAAAAAAAAAAAACCCCAGCACTCTGAGAGGATGCACAGAGGGATTGATTCCAAAGGTTCATATACCAGTCTCTGCAGACTGAGCCAGATAAATTCCCTGTTGGTAAGTAATGGATGTACAATGTGGTCTTTTATTTTAAGAAGCAAATGCTTTTTCATAAGTCAGGTAACAAAGAAGGATCGGATGATATAAATGAACTGTTTCCAGTTTCCACCTACTGTTATCTGGACTTGAAAGCTGGATACAGGGAAACCTTTTTCTAAAAGCAGAAAACTAATATTCCACAGCAGGGAGTCGAAAAATCCTCGAGACTGATCATCCCTATTATCATGTTATTCTTCCCCCATGCTATCAGCGACAGTCTTTTTTAAACTTTATTTTAAAAGATTCTCTTCTTTAGCTTTCAATGAAAACTACTTTTCTCTCAAACTTTTTAGTTGAAAGAATATAATAAACACCCATTTGCCCTCCACCTAGATTAACCAATTGGTAGTATTTTGCCATATTTGCTTTCTCTCTATATGATCATTTGTCGAGTATATGAGAGTAAATTGTAGACATCGTGATGCCTCATCCTTCAGCATTTATCTCCAAAGAACAAAACGATGTTCTACGTAACCCAACACATGATCACACATGACAAGCGTAACACTTACTATAATATTTAAGATATAATTTATATTCAAAATTTCCAAGTCAACCAACAGTGTCCTTCCGAGCTGTTTTTATCACAATTGAAGATCAAATTAAAAATCTTATATTCTTAATGGATGTCATGGCTTTTTTTTTAAAAAAAATATTTTATTGATTTTTTACAGAGAGGAAGGAAGAGAGAGAGTTAGAAACATCAATGAGAGAGAGAGACACTGAGCAGCTGCCTCCTGCACACCCCCCACTGGGGATGTCCCCGCAACCAAGGTACATGCCCTTGACTGGAATCGAACCTGGGACTCTTGAGTCCACAGGCCGATGCTCTATCCACTGAACCAAACCAGTTTCGGCATGGATGTCATGGCTTTTTAAAAAAATATATTTTATTGATTTTTTTTTTTTTTTACATAGAGAAAGAGAGAGGAATAGACAGTTAGAAACATAGATGACAGAGAAACATCGATCAGCTGCCTCCTGCACACACCCTATTGGGGATGTGCCCGCAACCAAGGTACATGACCTTGACCAGAATCAAACCTGGGACCTTTCAGTCCGCAGGTCGATGCTCTATCCACTGAGCCAAACCAGTTTCGGCAGATGTCATGGCTTTTTAACATCTTCTAATCTACTACAGTCCACACACCACTACATTTTATTTCATAATATTGACATTTTTGACAGATATTTTAAAAATTCAAACACCATTCTGATCACTCATATTCCAAGAACTCTGAAATAATAAACCAAAAAGAAACAGAAGTTAAAGATTGATCTTCAAACAGTATAGCCAAGGATGCCACACTTGCCTATGATCTTGCCGACATAAAATCACATCCTCTCCTCAGTGGTCACCAAACCATTCAGCAGAGCTTCCTTTACTGTGAGCTGTCACAAACTACCAGTTTGAGCACTAGTGACTATATTTTTCCAGCTCTGAATAGCTGTAGGGATCGCAGGAGGGTTGGTATAGTGCCAAAATGTGGCCAATCAAGGCTTCCATAGGTCACAGTAGTGCTTACTAGTGGGCCTCTTCTGCAAGGTTACGGACAAATTGGGCCATGGCCCTAGGGTGGGAATTCTGTGACCGTGGACGGCCAGCTTTATGTCCAATATTGGCATTTAGTTCAGGTCAGTTGCTCTGCAGAATGTCCCTTATCTGGGATTTGTATGATTGTTTTCTTATAGTTCAAGTATAACATTCTGGCAAGGTAATTACACAGATGATGCTGTTACATCAGGAATTACCCAATAGCAGTTTTCTCATTATTGGAGAATTATGTTTGTTAGATATATTTAATTTTTACATTCTCTGTTACATCAGGAATTACACAATAGCAGTTTTCTCATTATTGGAGAATTAAGTTTGTTAGATATATTTAATTTTTAATCTATAGGGTGCTTTCAGTCCATGTAATACTTGGTTTCTCGTTTGATTAAAAGATTACATTGGTGGCTACAAAAAGACATTTTAAAGGTATTTTGTCTTGGCATAGGCATAAATATAATTGGTTCCTTTAGAGAAAACAGGTCTTACCAGAAATAAACTCTCTGTACATTTGCATTGGTATTAAGAGGTAGAGTTTATGCATTAAAAAGGAGGTTTGTTAGGGGATAGAAGAATGGTTTGGGTATAGTGTGTGAGGATTAAAAAGGTTTCAAGTCAGAAATCTACTATATCTGCTAGTCCAGCAGTTAAAGTAGCCAATTGAGTTTTTTTGGTTTGGTAGAAGAATCCGGCTCTCCAGTTACATAGCTGGAAAGGTTTTAGATTACAAATATGCATGCGTTACGTATATACATACTAGCTTTGTCTAACCATCTTTGTCTTAACTTTTTGAATAAGAACAGTAGGATATTTAGGGACAGCCTGGCATTGGTAATATGCAGTTCACGTAAGGTATTTTATGGCTGGTTATGACAGTGTCAGAATGCCACAAGCCTAAGTGACATTTTGGTACTTTCAGAAATAACCAAGAAATATTATAATTCTTATTTCTGTAGGTGACTTGTAATGGCAGCAGAAAACTAGGAGGATCATTAAAAATAAAGCTGCTGACCTGCAATAGCCCCTGGACTCCCCAAGAGTTAGAGCTCTGTGATTCCCAGGAAGATTCCACCTTCTTTTTATTAGGGATCAAATGCTAACTGAGTAATGACTTCACCTCCCTAGGGCGAATCACCCATTCACTATCAGTAGTTTTACCTGATCATTATTTTTCAGCAGCTACAAATTTAAATTTAAAATTAGGGGAGGGAGAAATCTGTAGAATTTATTTATTTATTTATTATTTTTTTTGCAGGATACAGAAGAGTTTATTCAAAGTCCAGTACAGACTAGCCAAACTGCCTTCTACAATGTGAATAGAAAGCCTGCAGAAAAGGCAAAAGTTGTTATAAAATCGCTTTTAATTCAGTTTTCTCAACATTACAAGCTGTAAGGCAGGCAACAGAATGTGCCATGCTCCACATTACAATACTGAGCCTGTAATTGCTGGTATCAAAATATACATCTGTGTCACCATAAAAAACTGTATTTGCTGCCCCTCATGTCTTACAACAGGTATAAAAAATTATAAATATTTAATCCCTTGTCCCCGCCCCAACATGAACACTTGGGGTCCAGGCCCAGGAAGAGGAGCCAGCCAGCACAAGGTTTGTGCACAGGGAAGCCCTTTGGACCCATGAGTAAGGACTATACAAGGTATAGGATACAGTTAAGACTTGAGGGCTATTGTCCCACCTTAATGGGTCTCAGAGTTAGAGGCAGAAAAAAAACCAAAAAACAAACAACTTTGGTCCATGATTTGCAGGAAAAAAGAAACCCTGAAAGTTTAAGAGAGCCCTTGTCCTCCCAGACAGAGGACAGGCTGTGTGTAAGACATCTGAAGGTCGCAGGCCTGGGGCTTTCTAGGAAGAACCCAGGCTCCGCAGTGGCCGGCCCCACTGCGTCTGCCCTGAAACTAGATCCTGCCCTGCAACTTAATTACAAGGAATAAAATAAAAAGTACAGTATACAGGTCATATAAGGAAGAAATTTAGATTACACATACCATTTTTATCATCTTGCTATATAAAAGGTTACTTAAAACTATTTCTTTTGCATATAAATGAAGATTAGAATATTTGGTCAACTGGAATATTGCTAGGCACAGATGTCTGCAACTGCATAAAAGCACAATACAAAGACTTATTATAAAACAAAGCTCCAAGCTGAAGAAGTGCCAGGGATGCACCCTAGATGGTCTTGGCCCAGAAGGGGCACCTCAAGCCAGGGGCAGGGAAAGGAGAGAATCAACATTCTTGATTAAATGGAGGATTAGGATGCCTGCCGACCCTGCAGCTGGCAGCCTCCTGCCATGCCAGGCACATGATCCCTGTGGGGAAGCAGTCTCCTGTCCCCAAACCCCTATGTATTTCTACTGCAAAAAAAAGGCCCTGCCAAAGCAGTGGGTTTTAAGGCACAAGAAAGCTGAATGGAGGCTTGGGAACACCCACCCTGCAGGCTGCAAAGGGGTAGGCATATTGTCCGCGGGTCACCAAGAGCCTGAGGCTGGCACCCTATCTCCCAAAGGTGAGCAAGGTGAATTAGATTTAATTTTTTTAAAAACAGGTAAACTGATTTTCTCTTAAAAAAAAATAAAATCTCTGGTCTTTTTAAGGTCACTTCAGCTGCTTTTTAAAGTGGCTATTTTCTGGAATGATGGAAGTTGTTGCCAGGACTACCCGGCAGGCTGGTCCTTGGTGGGGAGCCTAGATAGTGGACTTGGAGAAGGACACCCGCAGGTGGTGGTTCTCTCCCAGGTCGTGGTTGTGTAGGTCGATGAGTGCCTGGATGGCCTCCTCCACTGAGCCCATCTGGATCAGCGCTATCTTGCAATCCTTCTGGAAGAACTTGAACCCTTTGACAATTCCGCCGTTGCTGGAGAAGAGCATCTTGAGGTCGTCCTCAGTTATGGAGGGCGGAATGTTGGAAAGGTGCAGGGTGGCTGAGGGTGGGAAGATGTTCTGGAAGTTCTTGGAGAAAGGCTTCTTGAAGCGGTGGAGGGGTGAGTTCCCATAGTCTTTGGTGAGGCCCTGGTCCTCCTGGCCCTCCCGGGGCAGCTGTACATTTTGGTGTTTGGAGAGGGTAATGCGCACAGGCTTTCCATGCAGCTTATGTCCGTTAAGGTGGCTTATGGCCAGTTGGGCCTGGCTCCCATCTGCCATCTGTACCAAGGCATTCTCCTTCTTATTGAACAAAATCTTCACCCGTTGCACATCGCCATACACGCCGAAAAGAATAAAGAGGCTTTGGGGTGTGACTCTCTCAGGGTTGAGGTTGCTGACCAGCAGGACAGAATTTCCAGCCCCTCCCAGGCCTGGGATGGCGATCCGGCCAGCTGCCGCCGCCGCCGCTGCCCAGAGGGGCCAGGGCCCCATGCATATTGGGAACAGAGAGGCCTGCAGCTTGAGGAATGGCAAAGGTGGGAGGGAAACCAGCTCCTGCATACGGAGAGGCTGACATTATACCAGGTGCACCAAAGGCTGCGGCCATGGTCTGGTCCAGAGAGGGTTGGCTGTCACCAGAGGGCAGGTCAGGACGGGTGTAGTCTCGGCTCTTGTCATTGTTGTACTTCACATTGAGGCTGGTGAGCTTAGAGAAGTCGATGCGGAGTGTACAGCAAGCATTGTAGATGTTCTGCCCATCCAGCGACAGCTTAGCATGCTGAGCGCTCACGGGTTCAGCATACTGCAGCAGTGCCTGGAACCGATTGTTCTTGGTGAAAGTGATAATCTTCAAACCTGTGCCAAACTTGGAGAAAATCTGGTGAAGCACGTCCAAGGTGACTGGGTAGAAGAGGTTTTCCACAATGATCCTGAGCACTGGACTCTGGCCAGCCATCGCCATCCCAGCATCCACAGCAGCAGCTGAGGCAGCAGCGACAGGTTCCCAGACTGAACCGAGTTCACTGCCTGCAAGGCGGCCTGGGCCCGTGTCTGGTTGGGTGAGCTGTCAGTCTTAAGTTCCTTATGGTTGGAGAACTGGATGTAGATGGGCTGGCCACGGAGCACAGGTGTCACCGAGGTGTAGTAGTTCACCATAGTGTTGGCTGCCTCCTCTGTGTTCATCTCAATGAAGGCCTGGTTTTTCCCTTTCAGCATCAAGAGGTTGGTGACCTTCCCAAAAGGCAGTCCCAGGGAAATAACCTTGCTCTTGGTGACATCACTGGGAAGCTTCCGGATATGGATCACTCTGGAGGGCACACCTGTATTTCTGTTGTCACCTTTGAACTTTTTGCTGTCATTTCCGTTTGCTGCAGAGGCTGAGCTGCTGCTCATGATAAAGGGTCCGTTAGTGACACAGGTAGAGAAGAGCTCGTCTGATCCCCGCTTTGCACCAACTGCTATGTCTGGGACAATGCCGTCCATTGCACACAGAAGAGACCCGCTAGGGACGGAGTGGAGGTGCTGGGATCGAAATCTGTAGAATTTAGTATGGAGATGTTGGCCAACAAATATTTTTCAGCTGTTTCAGGTCTGGTTAGTGCCCTAAATTGCCTCTTGTGAAAGAGTATGGTGTGTGTGTGTGTGTGTGTGTGTGTGTGTACCTATGGGTGCGATGGAAGAGGGCTAGCTAATCTTAAGATTTTTTGGGGGGGAAAGAGAGAGTTGGAGAGGGGTAACAGCGCTTGATATGAAAAATTCCAGAGGTGCTCTTCCTCCTGACTTCACAATGATGTTGAATGGGCACTAAGGGTATGTCATATCCTTCCTTCCTTGTCTAGTCATTAATTCTCACTTTCCCCAAGCAGGAAATCAAAAGAGTAGATAGGACATACAACTGTCTGAGAAGAGCAGGAAAGTTATTTCATATGCGAAAATAAGAAATCATAGGTGACTTCTACCTTCAGGAACAAGACTTTTCTATTTCTCAATCTCAGAACAAGTATTAAGCTTCTAATAGAGATAAATATTTTTCTTATGATGCATTTCTTGCCTAAGAGACCTATTTCTTAGATTTATTTAAGAGCTGAAAGGGACCTTAGAAATGATCTAGTTCAAAAGCCATCATTTTGCAGAAAATAATAAAAAAGACGTGAAAGGATGTGATTAAGGTTTTACAGATGCTAGCAAAGCCCAAACTAGAAGCCAGGCCTTCCAAATCCTGGTCCTCTACGGGCCATTTCCACTACACCAACTTGACTCTATTTAACAAAACATCTGCCATCAAATATAGCTTATTCTGCGAAGATGACACCACTCATACTTTTTTTTTTTTTTAGTTAAGTATTTATTTATTTATTTTATTTTTTAAATTAAATTATCTCTGTACATATACCATTGCCCCCCCCCCATACATTCCCTCCCTCCCCAGAGTTTTGTGTCCATTGGTTGTACTTATATGCATGTATACAAGTCCTTCGGTTGATCTCTTATCTTCCTCAGATCTCCCTTCCTGCTGTAATTTGACAGTCAGCTTGTTACTTTACTGTCTCTATATCTATCTTTTGGTTCATCAGTTTATAATGTTCTTTATTATCCATAAATGAGTGAGGTCATGCACCACACGTACTTTTTGATAAATATTAACTGAATGACTACTCCAAGTAAGTCACTAAGCCAGGTACTATGAATAATTCAAAGGTGAATTCACTATTATCCTTAAGGATGTTGCAATAAAATTCAAAACTTGAGGGAGGAGAGGACCCACAAATGTGCAGAGGAGGCAAATTTCATGAAAGAATTGGAAAAAGAGCATTAGAAAGGACCAGTTTTAGAATTGATAAGAAACCTCCATGAGATTTAGGATAGAATGTCTCTCTTAAGTGTTATGCAAATTGTGTTCCCTAACTCATTCACAGTGCCAGATCATTCTCTTATACAGCTTTATATAAATATGAAATTATAATTTAGAAAATTAAAATAAACTTGTTAGGTATTTTCAGTCTGAAGAATGTTGCCACTGACATTTATTTGCTTCAGATGAATGCATCCTCTCTCATCAGTCACCCTGTTCATGACTCAGATGTACAGGTATAAGGAGAAGAGTCTGAAGTCAGTGGCTACACACCGATGATTTGGAAAGGATATCCCTTTGAATTTAAATCAAATTGGGGATACTGATTTGGGAATATTTCACCAGCTGTTTAAAAAATTCTGGACTCTCGTGTTGTCTACATTGACAACTTAGCGTTCTTACGAGGAAACTAAGAGTTAAATATGTTCTTTTTCTGTGAAGTTCCTTTAAAATTCATATCTATGCTACTCTTACATGTATATGTATATATCTGAATAGTTGGTAGCTTTCACTGAACATATTTAGTTGTATTTTTTTCAACCAAAATGTAAATCTGTAATGTATTCTACTGTAACTCAATTAGAGCTACTAACACCATCTGTATATATATTTTCAGTTCAGCTGTCAAAAAATACATAAATATACCCTTAGTGATACAATATTCAATAGTCATGTAATATCTCTCTTGTATGATACTTCATTTAACATTTTTCTATATTGAAATGCATCAATTTTCATGTTCTTCCTTTTAGAATTAGTATTTTAATACAAAAGTCTTTGCCCAATCTCTGATAAATTTTTCCTGGTATAGATAACTAGAAGTAAAATCACTGTAATAAAGTATGTAACATTTTAAAATAAAAGTTTTAAAATAAATCCAAATATGTGTATATTATTTAAAAAGTCAAATAATATAAGACTTCTACTAAAATTCCAACCATTCTCTAGACTCTGTCTGTTCTGTGTCCCTTTCTTTAACTGTTTCTTTTGCTGTAAATCTTCATACATTATTCCTCCTTGATTAAATTTTACACATTATCTATTGATCCTACCATGAAAAAAAAATCCCATTTCTTTTATTTTTCTTTGAGAAATCCACCTTTTTAAAAACAATTTCCAGCCAAGCTCAAAGCAATCCCACTTTGTAAGTAATTTACATGGACAATTTAGGCAGAGGTAGGGGGTACCTGAATTGTAAGGAAAATGATCTTATCTTCTCTCTCTTTAAATTTTTTTTATTGTTTATAGTATTACATAAGTCTTCTTTTTCACCCATTGACCTCTCCCTAACCACCCCACCTCCACATTTCTTACATGACCAAAATACATTTTCCCCTTAGCTTCCTTGCATTGATGACACTTGCTTTAAATTAATATTTGTATTTTATGCTATATATATGTGTATATATATATATTGTGTATGTATGTGTGTGTATATATATATATATATATTAGGCCATGTAGAGAACTGATTAATTTCCTTTCTTACACATTAAAATTTTTTTATTATCGCTAATAACCTCAATTTATCTCATTTGTTGAGCGTGGCTTTTAAAATGTGGGCCCCAAATTCTTGGAAACTCTTCCCATTTGATAGGTGAGATCTACAACCCTCCCCTTGAATCGCCAGGAGATCATGAAAATGACTGTGTGACTTGGGAGGCTGACCCTAGGATATGGTGCAGCTGTAACACTTGTGTTTGGAGTTCCAATCAGGCAGGTAAACAGTCTGACTACTCTGCTGCTGCCGTGCTGTGAGGAAGCCAAACTAAACGGAGGGGCCATGTGTGAGCATTCCGGTTGGTCAGCAGCCTGGTTTTCGTGACAGCCCAGCCCAGGTACCAGGTGAGAGTGAAGTTTCCAAATGATCACAGGCCCCAGCATTACTGAGTTACTTCCAGCCACTGGGTCTTTACACTAGAGGCCCCAGAAATCACAGATCAGTCACCCCCTCAGTGCACTGTCCAAATTCCTGACGCAGAGAATCAATAAAATGATTATTAGAAGTAGCTAAAATTCGGGGCAAATTTTGTTTTTGCAGTAATGGTAACAGGAACCTTTACTTTTCTGTGCCTATCATTAATTTGTCCCTAAATTCTCTATATGGTAAAGTACATTAGGCAATCCCAGTACCATTTTTCCCTTAGAGATAGTTCTCCTGGAGGTCTCTGTCCTCTTGTTCCAATCCAGATTGGATGCATAGCCATCAGCCTAGAGCTTGCTTGGATGTTCTAATATAGCATGTTACTCTGAGGACATGGGCCCTGGAGCTAGGCTACATGAGTTTGAGTCCTGGCTCCACCATGTGCTACCTGTGTGACTGTGCACAAGGTAGTGAATCCCTCGGATTTTCCATTAGAACAGTTCTTGGCACATGATAAGTGTTCTTATTATTGGCAACACTGTTGGCTTATTATTCCTCCCTTCATATTCCTCCCCACTGCTTCACACCTATGTCTCATCCTCTACTTCCTAAATTCCACGACTTCTTTTTCTTGGTTACTCACTTGCCTTGATAGAAATACTCCACCAGCTCTCTGAAAAAAGATGCTTGGAGGGTAGGTTTTTTGGAGACATTGCTTATCTGTTTTTAATTGTCTTTAATGTCTCACTTGATAACATGACTGGCATAAAATTCTAAGTTGGAAAAGTTTTTCTCTTTGAATACTGAAGTAAACTCCATGGTCTTGAAGCTTTCAGTGTCTCCATGGTCATTTTGATTACTATGATTATTTTTTTAAAAAGTGCCTTGAGTGGGGATCAAACATATAACCTTCGTGTTCTGGGACAATGCTCTAACCAACTGATTCTTTATCCTTTGCAGGTAGGATTTTCTTTTTCTTTCTATTAGTACTAGGATATCTTTTTTATCTCCATTGTTTCAAAAGCTGATAATGATGAAATTTGTCATGCACTTTTAAAATTCATTATTTAGGGCACCAGTTCAATTTGAAGATTGAGGTCCTTCCGTTTTTAGAAATTTTCTTTTCTTTTAAAAAATTCATTGTTAATTTTTTGTTTGCATTTTTAATATTCTCTTTTTGGGATTCATAATAGAATCTTTTAAATTGGTCCTCTAATTTTCTTAACTTTTTTATTTTCTATTATCTTTTCATTCAAATTTCTGGGAGATTTTTCTCATTTATACCTTCTATTAAAAAAATTCTTCTTTATATTTTTTATTTCATAATTTCTCATTCTTGGATTGTCATTTTAAAAAGATATAACCTCTTATTTTATGGACTTACTATCTCCTGAGTTTACTGATTATAGTACTTTTGAAAATGTGTGCGTTTTTTTTTTTTTTTACACTTTCTTTGTTTCTTCTAAGTTCCCTCTTTTTTTCAGTTTGATTTTGAATCATTCTTTTCTTTTATTAATGTTATTTCATGTCTTTTATTAACCCATATACAATTGTCTTCTGGTTTGTTGAAGTAATAGATCAGATAACAGTTGCCACAATGTCATCTGTCAAAGAGACTAGCCATAAAAAACTCCAGCACCACATTCATTGAAGGCCATTCCTGATGAGGGCAACTGATTTTGCCACTCTTGTCCACTTTGTAGTATTTTAGGACAGCCAGCTTAACCTTCTTTCTCTGATGCTTATTCTTCTTGGGAGTGGTGTAGGACTTCTCCCTTTTCTTAGCACCACCATGAAATCTCGACACAAGATG